TTTCGGCACAAACTATAGAGGAGACCCGATTCAAGATCGTCGCCAGCAGCTGCCGATAATAACGCGGCTTATGGCAGCTGGCTTGACCTTGGATGGGAATTGGGGCCTGGTCTAGTCGGTCTCATTATTACTGGCGTTTTTACGCAACGCCGTGTCCAATTCGAACTCATTTCGTCCGTGATGTAACCAACGAGCCGAGAGGTAGAAGACGGGGTTTTGTTATTGTACACTGTGCATTTTGTAAAATCTCGACAACCTTTGTCAGCCAATGCGTGCAGGGTTTTGCATTTGTACTTAATAGTTCATTTAATGGGGATCGTCCAATTTTTCCAGAAGCCACAGGAGTCGCGATAGGTGCCGTTATCAAGTTTGTCAAGTATATATATTAAAGTATTTGGAAAACTTCATTAATGACCACACGTCCTATACACACAGTAAACATTTTTGTGCAAGCAGGAATTGAGTATGGAAAATCTAAGCCAATTAACATAGTTAAAACAATAGAATGTTGTTGTAACATAGATAATTGAACATTCTGTGACTGTAAGCACAAGTGCACAAATTTTGCCCCCCCCCCCCCTTCCCTTAAGATAAATACTTCCTTAGAACATTTTACCTATCTCGAATAGATATAGAACTAAATTTCAATAGGTTGTTTTGAAAAGTGATTTGATCGGCGACATCTTTTGTTAGACGACAAAGTAGGACAGTAATGGAAAAACAATATTTTCCTCAAACAAGAGACGGGCTACTCCAGAAAATAGAAGAACAACAAAAAATATAAAAACCACATAATTGCCATATACTGAGAAAATTTTTAACAGAATCCCGATCGTGACATAAAGATGAAGATAAAATTATATCTTACACCTTAATAGATGGGAGAGTAATGACCAAAATCTTTAATTAATGACCACCATCAAAGTTCGATTTAGATAGAGATCCTAATAAAAGAATTTTCTGCACAGATGTGCATCGGAGCGCGCGAAACAAACATTAATATACCGGTTGGTGCATATGAAATAATAAACTGCCACAAACATCAATTAGGTAATAAGTGAATAACCGAGTATTGTACCTTTGTCGCAAATACAACTTCATTTTGAAAACATATGTTTCATTTGTCGCCGAACTCGGTCAGTTCTACAAAACAAAACAGCCCTTATTCTCGTCACTGACAAACCGAACCCTGAGTTTGGAAACCCGTGAAGTTGAAATGAATAAATTTCCTTTTCATGGTAAGTTGAAGCATATATGTTGTTGTAAATAAATAACAGGCGAATAGTTATCCCGCTTGTCTTATTTTGTAAAGTTTGGAATTGCTGAGTCAACATTTCATAATACATCGACAAATGTAATGCAGTTTCTATTAGACTTTGTTAAGCAAAATAATTGAAATTCTTTTAAATACCATACAAAACGAAGATCTTACAAAGGACAGCTGTACGGGAAAAATTTTCTTGTGCCTCATGGGCTAATCTGGTATATGAACATATCCAAAACAATAGCTAGGGGACCTACCTTAGTGAGTGCCTCAACAGACTTTACTAGGACAATCACATCTATATTTGCAGGGACAGTCGAGTGGGCATTGAAGCTCTGTGAGAGAATGTTCGGAATTGCTAATTGGCTGACGAGGAACATTAACAAGACCGGCGGATTGGAATTGTAAAAATCTCTTCTGGGTTTGTTTGAATAACACACAGTGTGCTGAAGAGAGAAAAACAATTCTCTAGATCTGAGACGTATTGCCGGGGTCTGCAAGGGGTTTGAAAAGTGAAAAATTGAAACAATGTATTAAAGCATACCTACAGCGGCATTGTTTTTACTCGGGGCGACCATACATTGACACTGCCAGCAAACTTCGGTACTAGATAGGTTTCTTTTAATTTTATGTGTTGTACTTTGTTTTTTTTATGTATTGTACTTTTACATATTTTCTGTATGAAACGCACCTAATAAAGAAATCTGAATATTTTTTTTTTCATTTAAGGATACTATTTACAAGATTCTTCAATTATGAATGTAAAAGAATTTATGTATTATTGGGGAAGTCAGAGGCCCGTACTATGTTATATAATTGAAATTGCTATTAAAGTGGCTATTCGGAAATCCAATAATATACAGGGTGTCTCATTTAAGAAATTAAGAAAAGTCTTGATGATTTAAACATAACCTGAATTCTGAAGATGATCGCTAATAACTTCGAAACGGTGCATCTTAGACCCATACTCATATATATCCTTGAATTTGTCTTTGCAAGGACTATCCAAAAATGCAATAAAATGTAGGGTGATCTTTTTAGAAAAATGTAACTTAGTTTTACCACCCAGTACACAAAAAGGTGACGATTACGAAAATAAAAAAATAAATAAACGTTATTTTAATTGAAACAACCCCCGTAGGTTTCGAGATAAGGTATAGGCCCCTCTTGGGCCACCCTGTACAGTAACATGTCACACCTAAGACTCGACCAGACGCAATTTTATGAAAATTTGACAATTGAGACAGACTTAAATGCAGCAGCCGCCGGCCGCAAACGACACGCATGCAACGAAGTCATCCTGTATATACCGATGATAATCAAAGTAACCCGAAGTGCGTAGCATCCCAAATTGGTCGGCGTCCGGTGACCTTCGCGATAGCGTCGTCTTCATCTGGTACGGTTTTTGTTTACTTTCGCTCGTCGGCGAATAACGAACGATTGTTCGGTAAAGACGCCCGCTGCGACGCTCGTTTGTGCCTATTTGAACGGTGGAAGACACCGGCGCGTCGCTAATGATAGAAGATCGTCATTATCTCCGCGGTAGGCCAGATGAGTTCGGCGTGTAGCCTGCCATAGATTGGGCAAAAAATATTTTTGTAATGTTCGACTTCGTTGTCGGTCGCGTTACGATAGACAAGAGAACGACGCGTAAGTTATAATTTCACCTACGGAAATCTTCATGAACAACTTTTTTAATAGATGAAATTAAGAAGTCATCTAACATGCACAAAAATTCATTTCTAGATGTAATTGGAAGCTTCCCTGAAAGTATGTATATTAGACCTTTCCCTGAAGAGGAAATATCGAACTTAATAAAAAATAAAATAAAAAACAAATATTCTTGTGGCCCTGATAGTGTGCCTTTTGTAATATTTAGAAAGGGTGCCGACTATATCCTGAGTCCACTGACCTCCCTGATAAATGCATTATTAACAGAGGGACTTTTTCCTACAGCCCTGAAAGCTTCGCGTGTGGCTCCCATCTTTAAAAAGGGCGACAGGCATTCTGCAGCAAATTGTCGTTCACATCATGCTTTGCTAAAATATTTGAATACGCCATGCTCGACAGCTTGACCGATTATTCAGAACAGGTATATCAACCCAAACAGCGATTCATTCCTTTTTGGAGCATGCTATCAACTAGATTGACTCTGGAGAGCACCCTGCTGGGGTATTTTGTGATATTAGCAGGGCGATGGAACAATACAGAATTCGTGAAATAACTCTGAACTGGTGCAGGTCGTTCTTAACAAATCGTAGGCAGTGCACCATACGCAACTAGTAAAAATGTATTGTTTTATTTCTAGTAAAGAATAAAAATTAATATGAAGTTTAAAATAATTTACACGATTTCATATTGTAAATATAGTTAATTCAAAAAATTTTTTGTATAGAAATTACTATTATTACTGGCTAAAACCTCAAATAACTCCAAAACCATTAATTTATTTGACCAAAAATTAAAAATTTCGCAGTAAGAACAAAATTGGGGGCTCAAATTTTAAGATATTTGTGGTCTAAATTTAAGTCTCTTAAAATGTTAATCATAATAAAGATTTTCCTTCTGAAAGAAACATGCGAATTTTGTCAACGTATTAGAAATATCCAATACTCTTCTTCCTTTTGGTATTTCTAGTGAAAATGTTTGAGCATTTGCACTTAATTACGAATTAATTATATTTTCAACATTTTCTTTACTGTTCATTTTGTAGGAATAACTAACAAAAGGGTAAAAAAAATTTTCATAACAAAATACGTTTTTTTTTTGCTCGAAAAAATGAGGCAAGATACGAAAACAACTTATGGGTAAAAAAGTTGTAAATTAAGTTGCTTATTTGGATTAAATAACAAAAACTGCAATTTAGTGGCGTACATCTCTTCGATAATATTATTCGTTAGGATACTTACCGGGACGGCACTGGAGTTAACAATATTAATCTACTAGTAGTAGCCCTTTACTATTATAAATTAAAAAAAAAAGACGGACAACAAATATTTAAGAACGAACAATATTCAAACCAAACCAAAATTTAGCCATGAGAAACAAAGACTCATTTAGTTGACCAGTTTTTCTACTCCCTTCTGTAAAATACCCAATTATACACCGTATATAGCGTGCGGGAATCGGATGTTTTGGGAGATTTTACCGCACGGCTTGAATTTTAACGTCTGTCAATACTGACGCTCATGTCAGTGAATGTATTCGTGTTGTTTCGCAAAATGTACCCAAAAACTAAAGGTTGTAGAAAAAATATAGTATGCAACACGTTCGGTAAACTTTTTAAGTCACTCGATTATTAAACACTCGCTCAGGTGTCAAATAACCACGTGACTAAAATGCCCTTTTCCGCACAGTATACTATGACGGCTCTTATAACAAAATATCTGGTACAACTATGATACTGCATATGCCAAGAGAGAAATGAGCTTGCATTGCGAAAGAGCTATGGAATCAATTTCTAAAAAACAAAAAGATATTGGAAAAATTTTCCATTTTTAATAGTTTTGCTATTTACAAACGGATTTTAAAAATATTTATATTCATTAAAATGTTTATAACCGTCTCTAACTGAGAGATCATCCTCACCATCATTGTTCATTTTTCAAAGCATATAATTCATTCATTTTTTGCTTTATTATCTTCGACACGCTGCAAATGTATTCGAATATACCAAAACTTCCTAACATTGTTGATGTTAATTATTACGTACAATGATTAAATACAAGGGACTTACCTGTCTCAGCATGTTGTTATTGTTGCCCACGGAAGAACTGCTAGCTCTCGGTTGCTCGGTCGGCATCGCCATAGTCACCGCCCTGCCCAATAGATCCCTGGGACTCGCCCTGTTGTCGAGCGAGCCCGAATGGTCTTCGTCTTGCTGGTTCAGAAGCGACTTCAGAATTCTATCGTGACACTCCTTGTCTTGCTGCGAGTTGTTCATGCTGGTGCTGTTGCTGGCGCTCGACGGATTCGTCAGCAAAATTCTTAACCTTTAGCAAATGAATAAAATTTAGAATTAACCAGTGAGATGAGAGCTCGAGGTGCCACCCACCTATGCGAGTCCGCTAGACTGGCAGCCTCCTCGAGCACGTTGGCTTTGGTATCTTTGGGTTCGTCGACAGAATAACGTTCTGAATAATCTTCTATCATAAACGGGCTGTAACTAGAATTGGTTTGATTGCTAGACTGCTGCTGTTGCTGTTGCTGCTGATTTGAAATCTGCTGACTCGGACTCTGCTGGGCGCCGTAATGTCCCCCCACCGGGCTCTGGACTACCGTCGGAGCGTTACTATACGAAGGGTTGCTTGGCGGTCTGAGACGGAAATAAAACGTCGGCCATCAAAAGGACATTCGATGGAAAGGCATTCGTTCAAAATTTTGGTAAAATCGAATATGCGGACTACGAAGAATAAATACAAGGCGGGCCAAATAAGACCTACCAACGTCAGACACAATTTTTTTTTGGTTACAATTGAATTCTTAAAAATTTATTATGAAATCATACGGACAGTACAAAACAACGCGTTAAAATTATCTAGTATTTCTATTCTTCAATATTTTAACTCAAGATCGGCTCCCACAGCCTTCACAATTACAAGTTTGGACCGGCTGAGTGGAGTGGTGATGATCCATCAGTCCATTGAGCATAATTATAATTATAATTTAAAGTCAAATCTTATATTATTTCTATTGCTACTATAATACGCTATTCGTTTTATATATTTAGAAATAGAAATTAATTTTTTTAAATAATAACAACAAACAAAACTGTAAATTTTGAGGTTCTGAGCGACACATTAGTGTGGTGTTATGGACAATATAGTTATCGATCCATATTTCTTCGAGAATGAAGAAGGAAGGCCGAAAACGATTTCCGCAGCTTCTTAGAAAACAATTGGAAACTTTTCGTAGATAATAGCGAAGGAGAATCCAAATTTGTGGTTTCCACAAGATGGATCAACTGCTTGGCAAACTTTGAACCCGCTGAACCGAAATTTCTGGCAAACGTTTGATTTCAAAAAAATTTTCCTTGGCCACCTCGTTCGTCAGATTTAACTACGCCCAACTTTTTTATGGGAATATTTGAAAATAAAATGTAATGTAATGTGTAATGGAAAAAGAGCTGTATGTCTGCAAAAAAAAATTAATCAAAATAACTTAAACAAAATAAATTAATAAAATTTCGAGAGTCAGATGGTTTAGAAAATACTAACGCGCTAAGCCAACTGAAATCAAATTACAACGCGGATACGACACATAAATAATTAATTTTGCACCCCATGCTATCTGACGATCATTGGGAACCGCATATTTACCAAGGGCGAAAATGTTGAATATTTAATGGCGAGAATGAATGTGGGTGTTGATACCACGTCACTTGTATGTAGAGCGGTATTTTAAATTCTTAATTATAACCGACGCCTCATTGAAGGTGAGCATTTGAAAAAAAATCGATACATGTATGTCGGACATTGCCGGTAGGAATGAAAACTACACGATTCATTATGTTCAAAATTATTGTGTGTCTAAATAATTAGACAAAAGGATTTTTATTCCATTTGATGACGATTTTAGACAAGGTATGGTTTTGATCAGTTTTTAGCCAGAGCGCTTCCTCACTGTTATAGAAAATTGATTAGGACGAAAGATTTAATATAACAATATTTGCCAACAAAATTAATCTTTCTTATAAAACTTGAAACTTTGCCGTAGAAAACATGAAAAAAAAAGTGGTTTATTTCTTTCTATTTAAAAGAGGAAGTGAAACTAAAAATTATATACACAGATAAGACATAGAAGTTATTTAGTTTCTTATGGCCAAAATTTCTCCTTTATTGTTGCCTATTTTTGACAAGCTATAACTGCGAAATTTCTTTGCTGATGTTGGTGTGCCATTGGTGTGCGATTGATAGTCTATGCGACAATGACGTAGGATTTTATTTTAAATCGCAAATAACATATGCTGCCTAAACTGCGTTAAAGAACAACATGTAAAGAAACAACTTGAATGAAAATTAAAAAAAATGAATATTTTTACTTGACTATTTGACAAATTCGCTAAAAATTATTGTTTAATAAGTGTTACAACTGTAATGCGCTGATCTTCTATAAAAATTTTGTTTTATTTTGATATTGAGAGACATCTATTAAAAAAAATTATTCTCATTTTCTTGAATGTTATCTTCTTTCACCTTTACTTTATAAATAATACTTTGACCCTCTTCTATCCTGAATATTTACCGCACTTCATGCACGCCGCTGGTTTTGAGCGTTTTCTTTATAAGTATTCCTTGATGCAGTTTAGACATTGTTATTGTCTTGTCTTGTCTTCCATAAAAAGAACACATATTTCCAGAGCAATGCAATGCAATGCATCAAAAGAGCAATGCATTGCATTTTGATACAATGCAATACATCAAAAGAGGTCCCCAGATGTTGAACTAATGACTCGTCCAACATCATAAAGAACTTTGCAGGACGTTTCTACATTCTTTGACAAAAAAGTGAAAATTTTCACTGTCTTTGTCTGTACACAGAGGATAGATATGCCAGTATAAAGACAGGTCAAGAAATTCATCAAACTTAAGCTACAAAAGAAAGACCACCGCAATAATAATAGTAGTCGCTTAAGAGGCATCTAAACATAAAGGGAGTGCAAAGAAACACCGAATACATATTCTGCAAAGAAGAGGAGGAAACAGGCACACAAATGATATTCTGTCGGCCAGGCGTCACCAATGAATTCACTATGGATTTTAATCAGAGAGACGAATCTAGATAAGATTCTGGACAGCTTAGATTACGAAAACCAATATCGGGATAGTAGATTGGTCAACCGAATACGTTTTTCCGGGGTATTTGTTAACCAAAAACGTTTGCGAACCTATTATTAGTGGTGACTCACCTTGGTGTCGGCGTCGAGACGGGGGTGACGCTTTGCCTCGAATCCGGTCGAGTCGCTTCGTGCCAGTTCGCATCGAGGTCGGGCCACGTCGTCGTCGGGAAATCGATGCTGAAATCGTTGTCCAAATAAGTCGGCGCGAACACGCTGGCGGAGTTGATGGTGGAGGTGGCCGAAACGGGTACCGAGGACCCCAACAGACCGCCCCCAGCGGAAGATGTCGTGGAGGAGCTGTCACTTCCCGCTGACGAGGCGGTAGTCGCCGAGCTGTTGCGGGGAGAAGGTCCTCCGGTACCGTTAACGACGCTGGTCATGAGCGGGCCGCCGATACCACTCCCTCCGCCGGGATCACCCGGACCGACGTTTTCATTGTCGCTTGAAGGAAAACGGAGTTATTGCCAATTGCTGTTATTGCTATGACATGACAATTGTTTCTACAACACCGTGTTGTAGAAACAATATATATAACTTCGTGAAAATCTGAACTTTTAGTTTTTATTTATTTTGATAAATCGATTTTCATCAAGTAACGGCCACCTCAGTTCAACGTTATCTGAGGCTCTGTTATCAGCTTTGGTGGCATGTGGTTTGCGGAAAATGATGTACGAAAACATCTTACGACGAAATCCATTGTTATCGTATTTAAAGTGAAATGTGGAAGGCGGAGTTTTCTAGAGAGCGAAGCATTATTAAATGCAAAACGTGTAATTTTAATTGGATCTACTGTAGGAACCGTTAACTTATTCACAGGTACTCCCCATAAAAGTAACTACATTTGTATGTATGTATGCTAAGTATCCAGAAATCCATATCAAGCCGATATGTTGCAAGTTGCAAATATATTGCTAAAGCGTGTTAGGTGGGTTTAAATAATAAAACAAGCCTTTCCTTTAACGTTGAATACTCGGATCACTCCATAAGGGCACTGAATTTTTTTAACCCATATTCACATTAAATGCCAAACTTTATCTTCAAAGATTCCATATACGTGGATTTCTGGCACTATCTGACCGACACCAGTAAAGCTCTAAAATCCACCACTCAGTTTCTTGTACTTTATAAAATCAGTTTTCTATGTAAACATAAAGCTCAAGTATCTTGGATTGAAGTGGCTTTTACTTGATGAAAATCCATTTAATACAAATTAAATTGGAACAAAAAATGTTCGGATTTTCAAAGATTTTAACTAAACAGCAGTTTCAAATAACTTTGAACTCTGTCTATATTAAACATACATAGGAGAAGCGAGCAAGAAAATTTCGAAACGTCTATCTAAATTTGATCTTAATATTGCTTTTAAAACTGAAAACACCATAGAACACACTCTAAAAAACAACAAAACTAAATTACAAAAAACTCAAAAATCTGGAGTCTACAAACAAACAGTAGAACATTTTCGCATTCTAACTACACCATTTATTTAAATTTAGAAATGTACAACAATGGTAGAATGTCTCCTTCTAGGTTTTTTTCTCTATATACGTGGATACTGACACTATCTGACTGGCACCAGCAAATTTTTAAAATCTACCACTGTGGCTCGTGTACTTTTTAACATCAGCCTTCTATGTGACCATAAAGGAGAGTATCTTACTCGGAAAGAATGTGCGAATGTCCTTGTTTATGGAATAATAAAATTGGTAATGGATTGAAAGGAAGAATTGTTGATATAATATCAGATTCCCTAATCAGGAATTTCCCGAAGCCCTACAGAAAGGTCATTTTGCAATTTTATATGAGCGTTTGATTTTTGTAGTTCGTGAAATATTATGAGATTCCACAAGAAATAAAACCATTCTATTGTGTTTTGTTGGCCTAAGGAAACGCCTTGATGCTCCAATAACCTAGCTAAATTGAAGCCGACAGTAAGTTAATCATTTGGATCTTCCGTATGTCAAAGAAATCGGAGTTACTTTAATGAACACAAAAAACTGCGAGCGGACCTTTTATCTATCACATGAAATACCTCAGTCCAGCCAAATTATTACAGTTGGTGTACTCAAGTACTGATCACTCGCAAATTTTTAGGCAAAAAGGATCAGCCAGTACGTGCAACAATATTGCAAGCTGCATTGAACGCAACACAACCGATCCGTTTGTAACATTTATTAAAACCTATTTTAAATGATGTATTGCTTGATCCCGATTTTAATTGAAAATAATAAGGGATGACAAAAAACTTGTCCCCTTTACAAAGAAATTTTCTGTTTGCAAATTGCTTTCAGTTTCGAAACTAAAAGAAGTTTAAACTTCCATTGTCATTAGCTAACGTTTCAGAGTGATGGATCACTGTCCGTTATCCAGTGTAAACTAAGATAGTTTGGAAGGCTACTAAGCTTATATACTAGCAGTCAACTTTCGAGAGAGCTAGTAATACATGTTTCATAAAGTGTTTGATGCATCTCGACTTTTCAGTGACTGAATTTTTATATAATTTATGGCGGCACCTTTTTATGTAATAAGCAAATTCGAGAAAGTTCTTTTGGGAAATTGCCGTAATCTGAAATCTGTTTTTGTCACAGTGAAAGTTAATGGAAAAGATTCAGCGTCCCATCAACATTGTCGAAATAAAAAAAGCTTCGGACTTCTCAAAATTTTTCCATTATCTATGGGATAAACAGCCGGAATACCTGCATTGGCTTTGGCCAACTCGGGATACTAGGTACTGCCCATAATGGAAAGGTGTGATAAAATTGAACCCGAAAAAAGTGTTTTATTCAGAGGCCAACAAACTTTAATCGAAAGTTTAAATAATTTTAAGATTAAAATTTAACAAGGCAGACATTTTTGAGAGCGTTTACATACATTTAATCCTCCCCAAACTTTTTTTTTTCAATACAATTTGAAGTGTTATTCACTCTGTAATTTTAACAGTCTCATAATTAAATTAATTACAAAAGTCTTATTCAAAAGAGAAATGGATAAGAGGCGGCGTGAGTGAGAGCACCGATCACCGCTACAGTCCCGTTCTACCCGTTGATCAGTTAGCTGTACCGGCAGTACATTGTATATTTTCAGTTAACCTTAGTTGTTGTGAGCACATGTTTTTACATTATTATTATAATACCTATGTAAGTCAAGAATGTTATTTATTAAAAAGTATCTAATTTATTATTAACAATTTACAGTAACTTTTTAAATAAAATGTCGATTGAAAAAATGAAAAGTGTACCATGTGTGATATGTAAAAAGAAAGACGCTGGAAAACTTAATTTATTTACTGAGACTACTTTAAATAAATGTCGAACCACGTTAAAAATCCGACAAGAATATAACTTGAAGTAAGACTGACCGCCTTCTGAAAATTTTGGGATGCATCAAACACTTCATGAAACACGTGTTGCTGGCTCTTGGGCTATTACCACTTTCACGTTGATTTTGTTAAAATTTATACAAGTATGCAAGTCCGAAGCTTTTCCGAATATTTTCCACTCACTTTCACTGAGACAAAAACAGAATTCGGATTGCGACAATTTCCCAAAAGAACTTTCTCGAATTTGCTTATTACATAAAAAGGTGCCGCCATAAATTATATATAAATTCAGTCACTGAAAGGTCGAATTTGCTTTTGCAAATTTTGAATCGTAGTGACTCACCTAATAATCGAATGCGTCGCCATAATAAAATCCGTCTCGCTCGCGTGGGGGTTCGTTTTAAACAGTTTAGACTTGGTTTGCACCTGCACGAACTTATCGGGCGCCACTTGAATACGATAGACCTGACTTATCGACGTACCCGCACTCAGAGTCTCTTTCAAATGCGCGGTCACTTTGTGATCGTCCTGGGGCGGCACCAGGTCTCTCAGAACGCGGTTTTTAAAGTCTTTACGTAACGCTAAAGCGATCGAGTCCGAAACACCAGACGTGTCCACGCAAATAATCTTTCCATTGGAGTCCAATTTGGTGGTGAACTGTTCGAACGAACACGACGCCTTGTCCCGGTGCGAGATCCTGCTGGCCACGCACAACAGACAAGGGCCGCTATCGCTACCGTCTTCCTCCGATATCGACAAGTGATCCCGCAGTTGGGTACTGGAAATGTGCATCAATTCGTAACACGCCACCTGGAACCCAAAATCTTTAATGAAGCCGACGGGGACGGGTGAGTTAAACGCGGAAACACCCACCCTCTGTCGTTTGTCCTCCAGAGAATCTTCTAAGTCATCCTTGACCAACAACCGGACATCGATCGACTTGGATCTAGTAGGAACCGGCTGATCGCTGCCCCATTCGATGGTCATGGGAAGCAAATTCGAATGGAATTTGGTGTGATCGCCCGGATGCATAAAATTGTAAATGGTCTTGCCGATGATTTCTTCTTTTGTGTACCTGATGTACGTTGAGACGTTTTCCGTTACGTGTTCGACCTATGGAACGGTCAAACGACACTCCAGTGAATCATTTATATACCAACGTTGGTTAACGAAATCAAAGTTGTCTGAAGCCTTCTATAGCGACTTCGATATCTGTTATCGGGAAGTCGCCTCAAACGGCTCAAGTTTATTTCGCAAGATTCAGGAAGATCGATAGTTATATGACGCATACGATCTGCTGTGTCTTGCTATGACATTGGAAAGAAAAACAAGCAAAATTCAGACCAAGGTTCCAGTAGTTTTGGTTAATTAATAAATGGAAGTTGATGAACGGGACTGAAGGAGGCTTCACGTAGGTATTACGACTAACAGTCAGTTATCTAGCAGTGACATATCCAAAAATTTAAGGAGGATTTGGTTTATATGATTTTTTGTAAGCTACTAATATTCTTAATCGATTTCAATCTAAATACGTCAGGCACCCCAGGGATACCGTCTAAAAGAACCAGAATGGTTTTCGCTCTAAACTATTCTGCTTTTTTTCGAAGTTCGTCGATTGCCTTCTTTTATATGACGCCAACTACGAGTTGTCTCGTCCTGTGTTTACTTGCCGTTTTTGTCCAGCAATTATTAAACTCCCAATATCAATAGAAGGCTTCTGGGAACATAACAAAAAATTGATGCTGGCTTTTCAATCATAAACTTATAAAAAAACGTTAAAAAATAAAACAACTACGAGATAATTCCAAATCCCTTAAAAAAATATTTTTTATGATACCTATGGACTAGAATTAGAGTTAATATGATAATGTGATCAATTTAAACTGTCATTTGCTACTTAACATTTACAGCTTAACAGTTAACCAATAAATATTTACCTTTCCATCGCTGTTAACTACAAAAAGGAATCCCTCCAGTGCCTCCAATAAAAGAGGCCCGTAAACTTCGTTAGACAGGATCGTGGGTCGTGAAGAGGACACTTCACCTTGCTGCACCGGATCGGTGTTTTGCTGATCCCCGTTGTCCTGCAACATCATTTTAATATACACATTGTTTCAGAAAATTAATATTTAAAAATAACGTTATTTGAGGTAATAAACGTGTGTCCCAAAACGATTGCTTCGGAAGAAAGTTCTTAAAAGGGGCCCCCGGATAGTTGTTTTGCTTTTTTATTTTTTGAAACACCCGGTATGCGTTGTTAGTTTCCTTTAAATTCTGACTCCATTAAATTCTCTTTGCTACGACATGCTGCAAATTTACAACTCCTCCGTACAGACAATTCTGTTTCGATTCCGAAAATTTCTTCCACGTGTGTTTTCAATTTTGGAAAAAGCAGAGAAATGAGTAAGTAGTAAGACCACCGTGCGTAATTTTTGATACCGTTAAAAAACAAATATTTAATTATGTGCCTTAATATTGATCGAGGCTATGCTGATCAACCTTCGAATAGACCATATACTTCTTACTTTTTCCATGATTTACAGTTTACTTCTCGTCATACTTTTAATGGAATCGGGCAGCCCCAAAAAGACCAACTACATTGTTCTGTAACTGCCCCATTTTCATCAGCAGCGTCATCATATTAGAAAAATTCTTGCCAGAACAACAAATATAATTTTTATGCATTGAATTGTATCCTAAATGTTCAGATGTGACAAATATTTCATTTTTAAAGTTATTTTTTGAGTTACACCCTTCTAGGAATCATTAAAAATAAAATGGTTTTGCACTTGCCCATAACGTATCTTGTATATTCGGTGGATATGGTAGTAGTATATGGTATTTTTTCTTATCCAGTCCGATGAAATTTTATTTAAAATATAATTGAATGAACATTTTAACATACAATACAATATAATCGAAGTTCTTTATATAAAGTAAAAAATTCATTTTCAGTTTTTCATTTTTTAACATATCCTTCGTTTTTTTGCTTTCATACTCTTCTTCGTCTAAACAGCAGCCAATTTACTATTCGATTTTTTTTTTAAATATCTTAAAATCAGTTTACAACTACGCGACTACAGAACAAAGAATGATGTTTGATTGAACAGTGTAAATAATCTTCATATTTAAAAAAAACTAAAAACAATTGATTTTTGTGAATAACAATAAGAATTCAGAATATACGTAGAAGGATGCCGAAATACAAATTACAGGAAACTAGGTGGTCATCAATAGAAAATCGACGCAGTATTGTTAATAATTTGAAACCGATATTCATCATTTGAAGTCCTCTGTGCTGTACCTCACTTTTTTAGATATGGTTTTTATATAACGTATAAACAGTATCCACTACAAAAAAGGACCATTTCACCAAGAGTACTCCCCAATTGTGCAACGAATTAACCGACTTAAATATTTCTTCGTTCCCTATTATTACAGTATCTTAAGATCTGGCCTCTCTATATTATTGTTGATCTCTTTCATATTGTTTTGACATAACGTTTTATAATTTTATATTGAGTGGGCTTGTAATTGTTATCGCTTTTGTAATAATGTGTGACTCTTCTTAACTTATCTTCTTACTCTTTACTCCTGACCTTTTGCATATAATTTTTATGTTATTCGTTTTGGTTAGATCTTAACATAATATAGCTCATTGGTAACATCAAATTTAATTTACCTTTAACCCCATTTTGCGAATATGATTTGAACTTGAGTAATTGATAAGTAATAATTAATTTATTTTACTTCATTTACTACCAAAAGAATTTTTTGGTCAAAGAGAAGAAAAAGAAGCATATCATGGACACAAAACATTCTTTCAGTAGTGTGAGAGTTTGTAATTTCTGCAATTTAATTATCTCATAATATATTTTATTATTTTGTTGGTGGTATTTTGCCGATGCCAAACAAATGAATTCATTTTACAGTTGCGGTTCTCATTATCAAGCCGACATTTGAAGTAGTTGAGTGACTTACGGAAAGAGGTTTAATAGGATTTTTTGCAATGATGTTGAATGGAACATGTTTATATTTTACACTATACGATGTTTACCTGCTGTTTGATCCTGCGGATCTGGTTAACGGTTTCTTGTAAGATGGCGCACTTGTCCGGCTTGACGGACAGCGAGCTCATGTCCGCAAAATTGGCGGATATCAGCTCGGCCAGCTCTTCTATGTAGATGTTTTCCTGTTCGCGGCGCCGTTTCTCATTGTTGCATTTGTTTCTGTAACAAATACCGATTATTACTATGACAGGCACAATAAAACCCAAGATTTGGCGGGATTCTTTGTTTCCGACTTTTAACTGTAAGCAAAGCGAAACAGCAAACAGACACTCTGTATTTATCATCGAATTACTCTTCTATTGTTGCCGAATTCGCTAAAAAAATCGTTTTAAATCAAGAAAACACTGAGTTAAGCCATAAAACACATTTTTCTCTGCCATATGCTTCTCCGAAATCTCCTCAATATTTAAACGCAAAGCAAAAGGTGGCATTATAATGAAATACGACGTAGATAGGCATGTATGCTGGATCGCATTAGATGTCACCACCTGGTCGGAACAGGTGAACGGAAGCGTTGGTCTTTACACTCCTATTTTTTTACGAAAAACCTGCCCATTTTCTGTAATACGTCTTGCAAACTTTTCATTACTACGAACGCCAGCTTGCCGGCGCAGCCAATTTTAAGCAACGCGACCGTCGCCTTTGGTTTATGAAAGATTTTGGATAATATACGGACGACCACATGGCCTCGTGAAGGGCCTCAACGACTTTGAAAGAAAAAAGAAATTATAAATTGTAAGCCCATATCATATCGGCATATATTATTAATGAGCTTGAGCAAATTTGGATCCTGGGGATAAATTGTTTTAACACATGAATGAACAATTTCTATAAAAACTTCTTAAGGAAGATATAGAAAATGTTATTGGGAATAGCTTCGTTTTTAATTTTCTACAAATTTAAACTACTTTAAATAGACTTTATTAAAGTACGCCGTCAAGTTCATCACTTCCTTATATATTTTTTTACTCCCATCGTTTTCCACGGTTCCAAGCCACTTCGGACATTTCCGGGATTTTACCGCACGGGTTCGGGAGCAATCGGATGTTTTCGGCGATATTTCCCATGCTTTGCATTTTGACGTTCATTAATTCCGACGGACAGTGAATGAATTCGTGTTGTTTTGCGAAAATATACCCAAAAACTAACGGTCGTAGAAAAAGTATATTATGCTACACGTGCGGTAAATTTTTTAAGTCACTCGTTACATTCGCTCAGCTCGTGTCAAATAAATTCGTGAGTCAAATGCCGTTTCCGCACTTGTTGCATAATATACTATAAATTTAATAAAAATAAAAAAAGGGTTAAAAACGTGAAAAAATCAAATTGTTCCGATGTCTTATTTGAAAATTTGCAAATAAAATTTTTCAATATTTTCGAGAAAGAATTTGTAAGATTTTTTATAAAATAGACAATTTTTACAGGTAATGGCAAATGTTTAAGAACTTTCGTCATCGAGTTATTTATTATATTTGATGCACAAACTGGTACATTTATTATGACGCGGGCTTTAGTGTTGACACTGTATATTATTTTTTAAAAAATGTCGGTTGCTTTTTGCCTCATGTGTCATCTAATGAATGATCCACTATTCTATTGTATATATTGATATTGAGGATCAGTAGTTCTTAAGAAGGCAATAAAATTTCCGACTAAATATGATTTTTTTTTTTATAAAACCCGCCCGACAACTCATCAATTCCTTAGTATCTAAAGAGAGACTGTTAAATTTTTGATTAATAAGCGAGTAAATCATGTAAAAAAAAATCATTCAAGTAGGATAGTGATGTTTTTGTTATAAACTTCCTTGCTCATGTATAGTCTGTCTCAATCACAATTATGTAAGTTTTCTGCCGATATTGGTTTCATCTTCCTCTAGCTTCTTTTTCAGGTTATCCATTTTCCTTCTTATTAGGTCCTTTTGACTATTGTCTATATTCTATATGGTGAGTTTGAAAATCACTACGTTTATTGTATGTGTGTGTATACTTTAGGATTTTGTGATCATGAGATATATTATCAACAAATAAATATCTAGCACTATGCAGCAAGTGAAATTTGGAAATGGTACGTATAGTTTGGTAATTTAATAATAATAATACGTACGTCTATATATAGGCTACCTCATTAATACATTAACAAAATTACTAAGCAAAAAAGTGTAAAAACACTGCAATCAGTGACGCAATAGTTGGTAGTGATATTTCCAAAAATTAATAACAAAAATCTAATATTCTACCATCATCAGTGCACTGGACTCTCGGAAAGTTACATGTTTATTTAACCACCAGCTAAGTGACGAACGGAAAAATATTGGTGCACCAAAATGTGTGTAAAAAAAGGTGTAGATTTGGTTACACTACAGTAGGAAAGACCGATTCTTCGTTATGACGTCACCCGTCCCTCACACGGTCTTGGTCTTTAGAAAATAAGTTTCGATACGCGTTATCTTTTTCACTTGCGTTTTACTGGTTGCAAATTTTTCATTGCGTCAAATCCGCTTCGAATTGTAGATAAAGTACGATAAAACGACTAATACTGTTAAAAGTGACTCGGCGAGCAATCCTACACAAAACTCAAACGAAATTACGAAATGACTTACGAACTGGCACTGTCAGCCATAATCACAATCAATAATATCCTGTGAAGACGAGCAGGGTTCTCCGAAAAATAGAAGAAAAAACCTTTGTGCGCGGGGATATCGCGACGACACTAGCGCGAACTTATCTAAAGCGATGCAAGAAACGCGAGGCAAGCGAAAAGCGCATAAAAAAAACCGTCACTGTCGGCGTTTTCGCGTCGCACGGATTTTTTAAACAATAAAAAAAAGTGGGGAAGAGTGTTCTTGGTTACCAAGTGTTCGACTTGGGCTTTTGTTATTATAATACCGCTTGCATAAAACGCGACGTAGAGGTTTTTAACACGATGGCGGATATCAGACGACGCAAGTCAATAAGTCAGTATCACAAATTTATATATCGTAACTGTCTTCTCCTTTAACTGACGGGAACCGATGATTTTATTAATGAACGATGATTTTACATCCCCTTATTGTGAAGAAAAATTTCACAAATTGTTTGTTGCAGCGCAGCACGGTGGTTCTTAAGTCCACAGGCGACCTTAATTGGTGCCAAATTCATAATTATTTTAAAAAATGAAATTTTATTTTGGAACTACGTAACTATAAAAATCCAACTACAGCAAATTCGTTTTTCAACAACCAAACGCAAGCTTATTTTACAAAACAAATAACAGTCAAGTCAAACACAATTTTTTTACTCAAAAAAATTGGATACTGGAACTATATCGCTAATTAGGGCTCAATTAACTTCATACCTTACAAATATGCCTTTATCAAATTCAAACAAAATCGAAGATATTTATTAAAAAACGTACAGTGTTGCCAAAAAACTATACAGATATTGGGCAGTATATTTATATTTATTTAACATTAAATATATTTAATTTAATGTTATAGATTTTACATTCGGCTAAAGACTTAGACAATACCATTTATACCTTTATCAAATTCATACAAAATCGAAGATATTTATTAAAAAACGTACAATGTGTGGCCAAAAAACTATACAGATTTTGGGCAGTGTATTTATATTTATTTAACATATAATATATTTAATTTAATTTTATAGACTTTACATTCGGCTAAAGACTTAGACAATACCATTTTAATGTTCAAATTTTTTTTACATTAAGCTTAACAGGTTATATTCAATTAAATAAAAGATACAACTACAAATAACCAACAAAAAATACAACGCAAAAGAATTTTAAAAGATGGTATAGAAACACCAAAAACAAAACATCAGGAAAAAAATGTGTTTCTACTCCTTACTTAAAAATACCCAACAACATATACACGGATTAGGTGTGCGGAAATAGTCACGTTTAGTTTCGTGTTTTTAAGCGATCGGATGTTTTCGATAGATTCCAGCCATAGTATTTTGTTTGTCAGTTCTAATGGTCACGTGACACGTTACTTAGCGAATTTACTGTTTTGCAAAAATGCACCCGGGTCGTAGAAAAAGTATAGGACTTCTTAAGTAAACTCGTGTCAAATCAAACTCGTGACCAAAGTGGCGTTTTTCAAACTATTTTCCAAATATACTAGTGCAAAAAAACGCTTTTAACTTGCGATGCTGTAGAAATTGAGAATATCGATATTACGGAGAGCAAGTTGCACGTAAAATATAATTTGGGGAAAACGCGGATTTTGTCATGTAATAATATGTATAAAAAATATTGTATCTACCTATTATCTTGAGAAGGATGTGTCCCACTTACTTTTAAATATAAAAAATCACGAATCCTCTTTTTTAGTATTTTCTCCATGGGCCTAATATTACTATGACAACCACACTACTGAGTCATTTTCCAGTTAGGATCTTATTATTTTTTAATTACGTACGTATAGTACGATAAAGCACGTCTGTGACGAAAATGGTTGCATGCAGAACGAGGCTTTGAAAACAAATTTTGCTGACTTCTACGTTGAACAAACAAAAACAAAAATAGTACTTTCCGACAGCTGCACCTAATACATATTCAATTTGGGAAAATAATTTTGAGTTTTTGAATTTTGCCGCAAAAGAATGATAGGCATTCTACATAACGAATTTTTTCGACTCATTCGATTAATAACAACACTCTATTTTCGGGTGGGCCAACCGGTTTGGCGATTTTAACGAACAGATATCGCCTCATCGAAATCACTAATTAATATAGAGGAGCATCTTTTAGTTCGTCGTAAACACAAACATTGTTGTTCTGATCTCATCGATATTATTCTTTCGTGATTGTGTGTGGCATTATTTATAATGTTTTTCTGCGACACATTCGATATATTATACAGTTGCTCTACCGTAATTACTTCAAGTTGTTTAAATTAAAAATAAGATACAAAAATGTTGTTTTTTTTTTAATAACCCTTGAATAGGGCTCTATTTTGGGTTCAGGGTTATGTGCTGTTGTATATTATGAAAATGTCAGTCGTCGCATAAAGGTTTTTGTTTTTTTTTTTATGCTTTCAGCATAGGGCAATATATTTGTTATATCTAGTTCGAGTCAACTTCGAGTTGCAAACGACAAACAAATACAAATCAAGGTATTAAACATTGAAACTTTTTTCTCTTGTATTGCTGTAGGTTTAGGTGGTAAAATAGAAGCCAAGGTTGTAACAGGTAGATGAATGAAGATAGTTAGTCCAGTTGTCCTTAAAACTATACAGGGTTTTTCAACAGGTATAAGCCATTTTTGTCCTAGGTCCTATGTCCTTATGTCCCACAATCAAAACTTACAGAGATACAGGGTGATAAAAGAGATTTTATTTTTTTCGTTTTGTATTATCTATGTAGACCCAAAAATGCGCTTGTAGATGGCACTTCCTGCACACACACACACTTTAAATTCTTTATCCTGACTATTTCACACCAATCTAGCATTTACTGCCTCCTGATCTGCAAGCAAAATTAAATTTTTGGTCGAATCCACCAAAATGAAGATCCTAGTTTTGTTAACAAAATACTATTTACTGAAGAAGCTACTTTTACCAGCGGCAGCATTTTTATTTTTAATAACATACATTCGTGGGAATTAAAAAATCCTCAATTGATATAAGAAAGGCATTTCCAACACAAATTAAAGACGCACTTGTGAGTAGGCATAGTAAATAATTAAGCACTACGAACATTTGAATTACCCTTAAATCTTGATGCAGCGACGGTTTTACATTATTTACCTTACCTGACCTTGCCTTTGGTTGTAAGAAATCGAATGGATTTTTGTGTTTGGGACTATATTAAATCACTGGCGTACAAAAATCCAATAAAGAACTTTGGCATAAAATTCCGGATGCTGTTAATGAGTTCCGAATCAAAAAATAGTTTTTCAAAATAATAAAAAATAAAAGCGTGCGGTTGTCACGTAGAAATGTTTGTTTCTTGTAATAATTATTAAGTTGGTTAATTGAATAAAACTTGATTTGATTACAATTATGTCCAACAAAAGTTTTCTTATGTTCATTTTTCATTAGTAAGAATAATAACCCTTAACAGTATTCGTTCTTTTTCGGCTTGGTCTCCATGGGTTTACACGGTGAGTTAAAAATGTCTTGCAAACGATTTAAAAGACAGATATTGAACAATTAATACGCTTTTTACTTAGAAAGTACCAGAAAATGACCCTGTCTTATCAGAATTTAAATTTGGGAATACACAAAAAGGATACGGCGGTATTTCCGTACAAGTTATTTCAAAATTTGTGAAAGTAATAAAAAACGAAAAAAATGCTTTTATTATCTATGTCAATTTTGACTTTAAGGCGTAATTTTATTTGTCAAATCGAATTATTTTGATACAAAACGCAAAGTTTGTGAAAATAAGAAGAATAAGAGAGAAACAAGCATTAATAAAAAATAAAATCGTAGAATAATATATTTAAATTGTACAACTAATTTAGCGGATATAATTTTCAAATCCAATGAAGAATACAAAAATTGAAATGACTTTAACGATCCAAAATTTGAATAAATGGAGAGGTATTTTCCTTGAAAATTTAATTCTGGATTCTAAGGTTTGATAGTCGATCTCCGGAACACATCTCATAGTATGATAATAAATGATTTCCATTATATTCTATTCAATCTTATTTTCGAATGTCTCTATGTTATGTAAAATCAAAAGCTAGACTCGAACTAATTAGCGGGGTTATGATCATGTTGACGAAATTGCGTCGACATTGAAGCATTCTACCAGAATCTTCAAATATTGTATCCCGAACTGGTGGCAACGATAAATGGCAAGTAAAGAACCCGTTTTGTTCTATATGCGTCTCTATGGTATACGACGTCCGTTTCCTACGTCAAATAAGTTTTTATCGAGTGATTTAGACACGTTCGCACGTTGTGCTTATTCCCTTTTCGGCCTTTGATGCGGGACGAAGTCATTTTTTAATCCCACTCAGAAACCACTTCTCTGCGTTTGAGGGATTACATCCCTTTGAAGCTTGCATCTCTCGACCTGGAGTGGCGGGGGATTGTATATACTGCCTGCCGATCGCAAAGAAAACCGGAAACGCTGCTCAGTCGGAAAGAAAAACAGTTTTCTCGAAACGGCAGGATCGCACCAATTTGTTAAACGTAGCGTTTAATTAAAAAAATGTTTAAGCAGATTGTTGAGTAAAAAAGAAACGACAACCGTGGCTAAGCCATTCCGTTATAATCATCTTCTGACAGAATCGGTTTATTGGATGGAACACAAACCAAAAAAAAAACCTGCACAATAATGACAAATGCTTCACGATGGGCCTGTTCAAATAGATCTAATATTACTAACTACTAGAATTAATCTGAGTGGAACACCTAAGTTTTCAAAATAAATACATTGTTGAAACCATCTATAAACGCATTCAGTCCCTCATTTTATGATGCTAATCAAAACTAAGCAAACCAAATTCGTGATTCGGTGTTTATCGAACTTGTTGCATAAAATACCATTAGTTTTTGTTAGTTAGTTAGTTAAATAGGTACGAGATGACTGCTACTACTTTCTTATCACAGGGAGTTCCTTAATGATTGAAAGAAAAATGGGAAACACTGAAAAATACAATCATGATGCACTTAACATATGTAAACCGATTTTATTTAATATTTCGGTGGATTCGCGGGGAACCGATTGTGTACAGTTTAAGACTATTATCAATATTTGGTTTAGATTCCCAATTTCTTTGTTTTAAGATACAGGGTGTTCAAAATGAAGACCTGATGACGTTTTTTGGAAATAAACTTATTACTCAGTAAAATGATTCACTTAAAAGATATTCCGGCATGATATAGCCAAATATTTTAGATATAGAATATGTTAACATTTTTTCGTACACCTAGACATAAGCAAAGGCAGTTTGTGCGCAATGTAATTGAATCATGATAGTAATGGGATGTAAGCAACTATTAATATAGCACAGGAGTAGTAAATATCGTAAAATTGATGCACTTCAGGCGGTCATGGCATTTTGCTCCTAAATATTGCCGAAAAAATGTTAGAAGCGATGCGCATAATTTAATGTTTCCTTTTAACATTTGTCTAGTAGCTATTTAATTGTTCAGAATATAGTGATGGACATGCGTTCTTCTTCTTGAATTAATTCATCATATTTCGATTCCGCGAACGGACAAGAATTTGCCAAACAAAGGCCGCTTACAAAAAAATTAATATATCCATTAAATATTAATATATTATTTAATAAAATAGAATAAAGAAAGTAAATTTTGCCCGATTTCGCTTGTTTTGACTTACTGCAGGGTGGAAACAAATTATACTTCGCAGTTAAATGAATATTAAACAGAAACCCAATAGTCACACAAAAATTATTAAAAAAAAAATACATTAAGCAGACTTTCGAGATAAGGAAATTGAACTTTGCTAGCTTAAATTTCATCTTCAAAAAATTATCTGCCTTATCTAGTGTTTAATTTTCCAAATAAAATGTTCTGCACACTTCTTGCACCTAAGTCAAACAAGACATCAAACTTATAGGTACACTTCTTCTGGATTTCTCCATTTATGTTTTGTGAGTTTATGTAATTAATTTTCTTGGATAGAAGAAAGTCCTGGATAGAATAATATCTGGTGACCTGTTTCATGGTAACGTTCAGAAACTGCTGACGTTGTTATTTGATGAACTCTGATTGATCTCTGATGTTCTTTTAGTCCGGTTGTTAATTTTCGACCTGTTTCTCTGATGTGTTCTTTGGCTTAGACGCATGTTATGCTGTGAACGGCCGCTGCGGTGAGAGGAATTTTATCTTCAGAAAAATACCAACTAGACTAAAAGAACACCAGAAATCAACGACATCAGCTTTTTCTGAACATTATCACGAAACATGACACCACATTTTATTCTATAATACCAAATATTTAATCTAGCACTTTCTTCTTTCTATCATCAATGAAATAATTCAGTTTTAAACAGGACAATCAAGAAAACCCGGAAGAAGTACATCTGCAACTTCCACAGTCTGAATGGTCCTTTAGCTAAACGTAACGTGGATCGTACACAGAGACAATATCAAATAGAACACGTGAGATTGGTTTCTAAGATAAAGATGAAGGGGATACTCACATCTGGGACTGCGGTTTATTCTCAGCTTTTTTCCGTTTCTTGTTGACTCCGGCCAGGGCGCTCATCTTAGCCCAAACCGGGTCCTGCAGCTCACACGGGCCGAGCCTGCAACACAAATTCACAATCGTTAAGATCTGCGCTAAATAAAAATCTGTATTTTGATATGATTCTGTTTTCCAAGGTAAAAAGCCGTTATAATATGTTAGCGATAATAGCCGACAAAACTTACTATAATAATTAACTATACAAGAAATATTAACCGTTAAATTAAATTAATGGTCAATTTTTTTCATATTTAATTACGTTAAAACCAGTAACTAAATCCATTATCTAGCGTGACTAAATCGCACTGCAATTCGCCACTGCAGCGCAGCGGCTCGAGCGTTTTTAATGACATTTAGTCCGTGAGCGATGCAATTTTACAGTTTTTTTATTTCCCCGTCTTCTGATCTCTCCTTACCGAATAGACTCATAAAACGGGATATTGATGCTGATATTGGTTTTTGAAAATAACTACTGCAGCCAAATGCCGACAAATATTGCAACGCGGTCGCTGAATTACTAGACGTTCAGTGTTACTTGTATGAACAAGTAACCATAACGTAGAATTTTTAAATAGAACACCCTGTACGGTAGTCCATTTGCTTCTCCAATATCACTTTCTGAACGTTTCTGCAAAATACTTTGCTATACCCTATTCTGTCAGTTTTAAACATATTTTTATTATATATTTATCCCAGTATCCTGGGTAAGAGTAAAATCTTTGCGACGGGGTGTTTTAAGCATCATAATTTTAATGCCGTTATAATTAGATAATTAGTGATACGTTATTTTTTTCAAATAGATTATTAAATAATAAATAAATTATCAAAAGATATGTTGCGATAGATTCCCATAGTAAGGACGTCGAAGAAAAATCAATTCAATCAAATCCATTAAAACCGCATTATTTAAAAATGTGACATTCCTGAAGTGAAGTAACGAAAAATGCGTTGATGTGTATGCAGATGTTTATTCAAATATTAAGTTCCCTCTATAATTATAACGATAAATTGAATTATTGTTCTATTCTCATCAAAATGTTTTTTTGCGCATTTTATGTTACATTTTCTTTTATTGCCACCATTATTGTTTAGGTTCCCTGTATTCATTTTTTCTATTAATTAGCTTGGTTTATTTTTTACAAGTTTCGACTGCACATTGACCGTTCAGGGTAGCAAATTTTATCTTTAGATAAATTTTCTAATTAAATTTAAATTGAAGCGGATGTAATTAACAAAAATATAGGCTTTTATTATTTATTTAGTTTGTTATATATGCCATATAATTTTACATAAGTATCTAGTTTTGTCTGTAAGTCGGGCGTGCCTTGGTTTTATTAACCAAGGTGGTGAAATGGGAAGAAAAAGTATAAAAACAACAAGCAAACATCCTATTACTATTTAATTTATTACAAATATATGATTTATTTATTTCTATTTTTGTTGTTACTGTTATTATTTAACAATAATGTAATTACGATTTAATGCAATTATTTATATTATTAAATTTAGTCCGTCAACGTCAACTGATGTATAGGAAAAAAAACAAAACTTCCAGCTGAGTAATTTATAATTCAATTTGGTATTATTGGACGTGCAAAAACTAATTAGAGGGTGTAGGCTCCTCATACCCCACCCCGCCCATCAATCAAAACTTATTAATCCCATCCACCGTTTCGAACGGTACCCGTAAAAATCCGTCCCTGCGTCTTCGTCGCGCGCATGCGTCGGAAATGTCGAAAGCGTGACGTCGCCAGTCTGCCAGACTGAAGCTTTTACCCTTGGATATCGATTACCGCCGCCCGACCACGCCGCTTTTCATTTTTCGCGAGTAAAAGGGCCCTCGATGTCGCTTTCTCTCTCAACGACGAGGGAAAAGGGCGAAGGAGCGCGGAGACCAAAACAACGGCGAATCGATATTGCGCGTCAAACGCGAAAGTCGGAAAACACGCTATTTGTTAGACGCGCCGGGCATCGACGTTATTACAACTTGGAGACCTGACAAGTCATTAACAGATATGAGAAGCAATCTTAAAGTTTCGAGAAAAGTTTATGCACGAGAGACAACATCGAATTCTGCACGCAATATAGTAGAACCGAGTGACAGGCTACCCAAGAAGCCTATTCGTTTTGGATATTGACTACCGTAAGAGCCACAGGGACCCGCTGTGCCCTAAATGCTTTTCTAGTTATTTTCGAATATATTTTCTCTTCTAGGCACTCTCTTCCAAACATTTGCTTGGAGGATGGATTTTAGGAGTCATATAATAAACGCACTTACTGAATCTGGTTACGCTATAGATTTAGTAACAAAGTGTTTACGTATTGCATTTATATAATTACTAGAGGAAGTGAAACACGCCAATAATCTAACGCGAGTGGTTAGAAACATTTTTAAGGAGCGTTGAAAGTAGGTACTTCTCCTATCAAAAAGTTTATTATGACCCTTTGGTCATAATACACTTAATTTTGAAAAACACTAAACACCATATCAAGCATTGCATTAGATAAACAAGATATTCTGGTTAGTTTCGATGTAGTGAAGTTCCTATTCCTGAAACTCTCAACACCAGAGAATCTGGAACCAAACCTTCTCACCTTAATTGAAAAATGCTTATCGGGAACATATTTTTCTTATAACGGTCAAAATTTTGAACAAACGTAGGGAACAGCTATGGGTAATATATAATAAACGTAATATATTGCATATGAGCTTTTTTTGTTCAGTTGGTGATTTACGAACGTTAGAGTAGAAAATATACAGGGTGTTCCATTTACAAAAGAATACATTCCTTTATTTTTTCCTTAAATCCTACATTCAATTGTTTTTCTGTTTTCGCCATCGTAATCAGTGGCAAAAATGCTAATAGATGCTACGCTTTTTTTGTATCTCTAATCATAACAAAGTTATCCTCTCATATTATTTTGATCAATTTTATGAAAGTGCCAGAAATCGCGTAGTACGGCGCAAGATTATCAAAATTTTACTTTTTACAGGCAACAGGTCGTGTTATGATAAAAATAAGAATAAAAAATCTACTTTTCTAATTTGCTAGAATTTTCATTTAAGTAAATAATGATGTAGTTTTACGAATCGAGTTTAAAATATTTTATAACAGCCATTTCCTATGTCCATCTTTACCGTTTTTTTTAGAACGTACTTTTCGCCGCCACTGCCGAAACGAACGAAAAGTGTGTGCGAAATCAGCAAAAACAATTTTGCGGTGGCATTGCTGTTGTGTAAAATTGCTGGGTCGAATTGAGGGCTTTGAGGAGGTAGAACGTGAGATACCGCATTGGTTGCGGCTTTTATTTATAGAACTCGCAATTAAACAAACGAACACCCAAAAGGGACATAGCTGGAAAAAATAAAGATATGCAATTGGCTTTGTTGGTTTTTTAAATTAACGATATTTTATTTCTCAACTATAACTAATATATAACTTATAGGTTTGTGTAATTGAGAAACTGCGTTAAAGCTGTTTATTGCTTGTATTACGTATCTAGTTGTTACAATTTCTAACCTCAAATTTTGTCATATTGAATGGAACTTCATAGGCCGCAAAATGTGAATTTTTCAGAAGGGCGAAAAATTATAATAAAATATTAATTATAGCACTCTTCTCACTCGAACTGGATTATGTAATTAACGGCTTTTATAAGAGAAAAATTTATTGCTGAAAATTTCGATATTACAGTAAAAAAATATTTTTAAAAACAAAGGTTAGAAACACAGTACATCCCATTGTTATCCTCAATTGTAGTGTCAATGCTTAAATCATGTAGCATACATTTGACTTCGCCTAACTAGTGTTGGGACTGGTCAACCCACCGCGGTCAATTGACCACTTGTTTATTCACTAGTCAAATTCGATCAATACGTTTTCAAAAACAATTGAAGAGTGTTATCTATCATTATTTAATAACAATATATATTTTATAATAAATTATTTGGCGTTTCTCTTCAAGGAATATCCGAATACGATACTTAGCAATTAGGGGAATCTCCATGTAGTTCTCAGAACGACGCGAAATAAATATAAATAAATAAATATTGTATTGCATTTTTAAAATTCTTTAGGCCAATTGACTCAAAAAAATTTGACCGGTCAATTCCACGATCTAAAAAAAGTTAACTAAACTAACTAATAAAACTTCGCTTTACTATAAAAAAATCTTACTCCAAACAGGTAGTTTTCATTTTTTTAGGCTAGTAATACTTGCGCTGTTGCCAGATATGTATTTTGGATCCCTACTTTTGAGAATCCATGCCGGTAATCAGCGGATTCCAACCATTTTAGGCTATAAGGTATCCATTTAGTGCCGATACAGAGTTAATATGTAGAAATTATTACTATATTGGTGCACACTGGGTTCACACAGATGTGCGACCCTCTTAAATCTGTAGTAAGAAATAGACTTAAATCTGGCAGCAATGTATAAAAATTAATCTCTTTGGGCTACACGATTTGACTATGTTCGACGCGCCTGGACAAAAGAAGACGCAAAATATATTAAAAACAAACGAAATAACCGACGCGCAAAAAAAAAGCGCCCAAGGAGCGCGAACGAACGGTGGCAACAATGTGTAACTCATTGTTCAAACAGACAGAAAAGTTATTACCCAGCTCACTATAACCGGTTATTACTGCGAATAAATTCAGAAATAAAATTAGTAATAATAAGGTTTATTGTTCATTAACCATATTGAGCGTTTTTTTTTCTTTTCGGATTATTAACAAACCGGGTATCCGTTGCAAAAAAAAAAAACGAAAATTAACCGTATTGTTCTGCTCGGAACGGTGTGTATATCTCGTTACGTTTTTTTATTAAGCAACTTCAATTATTCATACAATAAATAATGTAATTGGCGTATACGTGGCTGAAATGTTCGTATGCAGGCCGGCTATCCGACGATATTGTGTCCGCGTTGACAAATATGACAGTTTCATCGAGAAAATTATGTTTCCGAAAGCGGTAGACAATTATTGCCGGTATAATAATAACCCTAAAGCCGCAAAGCTAAACAAAACTAACTTTGCCAATGGCGGGGCAATTGCGTTT